TCACATACAAACATTGTCGTGTTGATGAATCTACGGTGTACTGTATCGTCGATCCCGTCCTCAAACTTAATTCGCAACACTTTCCCTAACGTGAGTCAGGTACCCATCAGTGCTGGGTGGACTCAAATATTGGGATAAACATCCTTACATGTTCATAATCAGACCACTACTATATACCTCAGATGTCACAACTGGACGAACCAACAACAGATCAAGTGAATGTTAGACCAGTCGTCCCTTTATCCCACACCTCACCATTGGGTTATATAATTCACGACATTGCCTGGTTCAGTGTCTACCAACAGCATTGTGTTGAACTAAGTCTAGTCACTGAGCGCTCGACAATGTCTTCTATATTATTATATAAGAAAGTTAGCTGAACAAAGAGATACTACCACGTTGATAAAGTCTTCTAAAATGTTTGTGTTTTAACTCACATCAATGTTTTGTGGACCTACATAGACCCATCTGGTGTAGTTGAAGCTCGCTATAAAGTACAGAGAAAATCAATAGCATATGTTGTTTGGTGGGTTTAATAATGTGAGTTGTTTTTGTTTGTATGTTCATTAACTCTTTCATCATTATCTGGTGACTTTAATAATGTGAGTTAGGATCTGTGTTTGTATGTTCATTAACACTTTCACAATTTGTATTACATACTGCACACAACCGCAAATAACCGCCCCATGCCTTAAAACTTATGAGTTTATTTTTAAAAATTGAATGTAATCAAAAGCATACTGTTTTAATGGCATTATCAACTTTATCAAGAGTACCATCCTGATGGATTAGTTTCATTCTAAAAAAAGACATCAGCTCAATGTATTTGTAATGTCCGACCGATCACAACAGTTTTTAAACAGGATTATTGACGAAACATCAGCAACCACTTCTTTTAATTTCACAAAGTACTTGTTCTTTCCGTTGTAGTTTTGTTTCAAGTAATTTTACTCTAATTTCTAATTGTGCTTCATCGAAAGTATCATGGGATGTAACTTAACTGAATTCTCTATCTTATTATCGATGTATTATAATTTAAAAAAAAAATAAAAAAAAAAATAGCCGCTTTATTTTTTCATTCACAGAAAGGCTTGAACACCATATACAGTGTTCAATGGTAAGTAAACAGCTATAAAAAACAGACATTATTATAAAACTTAGAGAAGAAAACCTAACTTGTAACAAGTACGATCTCACATAAACATTATACTTGACAAGTTATTCAAGTAGTAAAACACATACAAATGTGTACACCTAGAGGCTGAGTCAACGCTTTAAACAGCTTTTTAATTGTAACGGCTTAGTAACACGTTTAAACAATTCAGCAAATGCTTGAAGTTCGTACTTTAAATTCACAATTTTAACAATTGAAATGGTATTGAAGTAGAATAATACAAAAATTGCATTGTTAATTATTTTTAATTATTTGAAGTTTAAATATATTTTTTTTTGCGATTTACAAATCAACTGTAATTAAATTTACATCTCAGCACACGTAGCTTGTAGTGGTGGGACATGCGCATTATAATTTCGCTTCTACAAATCTTATTATTTTTAAAAAAAATGTAATATACATCTTTATAGTCATTTAGTTGTTTTTTTTTTAAAAAAAGCTTTAAAAACATGAATATAATAATGTTCCCTTTCAAACCTGACGGTCTATGAAGTAGAGTTCACTTCTTTCTGTGACCTCGGCATATGAAGATATAGTGTGGTCAACACTATGCCCAGCCGCCTTTACTTTTCCTAACGTGAGTTAGGTACCCATCAGAGTTGGGTGGACGCAGGGACGGTCTACTGACTTGAACCCGGACTCGAACTCGAGACTTACGGGTTAGCAGTCCAGCTCTTTACCACTCCGTCCCATGTCTAAACTTGAATATAATTAAACAAAAATGTCTATTATTATTTTCCTACTATATTTCGTAGCAACTTTCGCTTTTGAAATTAGTGTTTTTCTTTTGTTTTAGTTTCAGACAAAGAACACGAGGAAAGTGCGTGTCTTTTATGTAGATAATTTGTTTCGTTGGTTCTCTATGTCAGTATGTTCAAAATTTCTTCAGCTGACGATCAATATCGTCTCCCTGTGTTTACCAGTTCAGTTTTTGCTTTAGTGCAGCTTGCCTTCAATAACCGTATAAAGCATTCATTAAGTGGCACTCTGACTCTACTAGTTCAGTAACGGTTTACGGAGCGTTATGTCCCTTTCATTAATTATTCATTACTCGTTATACACTGCACTTACTTATGTTGCGCTGTACACGTTTACCTATAACAGAAAATGTCAGTTACTTGTATTGCGTCGTATACATTTACAATAGCGAATAATATTACTTTACCAGGAGTACTATAGTTGTCAAACCAAAAATCCCTAGTATATAAGTTTTGATTGCATAAATAATGTCAATCGACATTAGTTACATGTGGTTTGATTCTACAATATGTATTAAGTTTCGTTGCTTAAGAAGTCATGTTAACTGTTTGAAATGTAAATTTTCTAATTATATTGTGTCGATTTTTTATATGTAAATTTTTACTTTTCTCTCTACCATCTCGCTGCCCTCGGTACAATGCTTTAAAAAGTCACCCACAAACCTCTCACAGAGAATTAAATATTTACCGTTTTTGTTAAACTAGTTAAACCATTAAAACCAAATTAAAAGTGCTCTAGCAATATGTAAGTGATACAAAAATCTACCAGAGATAGGAGGTTATACTAACTTATGAAGGATAGTCGCTTCCTCAAGGTTAGTCAAAGACAAAACAAAATAAAATTATAATGCATTTTTAATTAGTTTAAAATTACTATATAGAAAATATGAACATAATGTACTAAGCAGAACCATCGACATCATCCATGGTCATAAAACATAATAAAACTATTTATGCCTTATACATTGTGTTTCTGTTTTTCTTTTAATAAATTTTTGTTCTTACCGATCTGAAATGACTATTATAAAATGACAATATACTGAGATAGTCTGCGGCTGAATATTGTCGTGTTAATCTCTCTATGGACAACAAATTTACGATGGGATATTCAAACTGTTAAGATTTTAATAACGATTTGTTATTAAGTACACTAAACAACCCCGAAAAAATTACATTACACAAGTAGGGAAAAAAAACAACTCTGGGTTCTTTTTATTAAACATTTAATTAATTACAGAATATAAAATAAAAAAAAAATGTATTAGCGCTTATGACATGATTTATTATCATCAGTCAAAAGTTATGGCCTCTCCATCTCATAGAGCTACTTGAGATTCTCTGTGTAGATCAGTGGTTCTCAACTTATTAGACGTACCGAACCCCACCAGTTTCATATAAGCATTCATTGAGCCATTCTAAACGGTTGTGTCGTCCACACTGACAAAATCCGATCGTGAATCCTGTGAGTCGGGTGTGTGTCTTGATCTTTGCCGAACCCCTGAGAATGACTCACCAAACCCCTGGGGTTCGATCGAACTCTGGTTAAGAACCACTGGTGTAGAAAGCTACCAGTGTGTTAAGTCGCCGGCTGTGTTTAAGTCGGCGACTGTGTTTAAGTTGCCGACTGTGTTTAAATTGCCGACTGTGTTTAAGTCGGCGACTGTGTTTAAGTTGCCGACTGTGTTTAAGTTGCCGACTGTGTTTAAGTTGCCGACTGTGTTTAAGTTGCCGACTGTGTTTAAGTTGCCGACTGTGTTTAAATTGCTGACTGTGTTTAAGTCGCTGACTGTGTTATTGATGCTGGATCAGGCTCCAGCAGGCACAAGTCTGAGTCAACAGGCCATACAGCTTGTAAATTGTTGTCATGGCATATTCGATTACATTTCAGGGGGCCTCTACAATATAACAATTAGGGACGAAGAAGAAGGAATCGATGCGTTTGATCCTAGGTATCATAACCAGCCACACGGTACAATCTAGTATGTCTTGGTTTAACGCTTTTCTTTGCTAACTAATAAAACTGTCATCGTATCGAGCAAAGCTAAAACCTAACCACTACCTTGTGCTTTAAATAACAGATGTCAAGCAGGGCTTTAACCTAAGCTACATCTTGTCTGAGTTTTTTCTTACACTTATCTCCCTTGTTATTTATATTGTACATTATCTCCCCTGACATGAGAAATACTGCTCAGCATAGATGCTGCTAATGTAATGATAAAACATGTCTGTCTTTTTAAACAGTTTTTAACTAGTTACATGCAACAATCGTAACGACTAGCATGGATATACCTCCTGTTTTACCTGAGAAATTTCACACTTTACACTACACAGTTTTTTTATATATTTTTTATCTTTCTTTGTATATAGATATCTTTATATTTATTTAGAGATAACAAAATGTGTATCTAATAGAAACATAGGACTTTGTATAAAAATATCTTCCATACAATACATAATTTCACCAGATTTTAACATCTCTGATCAAACTAACTTTGTACAGTGTTTCTTCCAGACTTTTTTCTCCGGGGGGGGGGGGGGGCGGTAGACTTTCTTTGGGGGAGGGGGCGGACACTGTTAAAAGTATATATTTTCTATATAAATTATATACATTTTATTTCGTTCGGGGGGGGGGGAGGGGGGGGGGGCGATAACAAAATTTCGGGGGGGGGGGGGGGCCTTCACCCCCCCCCCCCCGTAGAGATGCCTGGAAGAGACTCTGACTGTGTACAAGTTAGAGAAGTAAATCAGGACCTATAATTAGAACATGTATGAAGGTTTTAAATAGCAATTGTACAATGAGAGTATAATATTTAAAAAGACATGTAATGACGTTCCCATTGAACGTTCACCAACACCGGGCGAAATTTAAAACAACAACACATAAATTATATAGAAAATATTATATACTAAAAATGTCTTAAACCGGTGTCCGGTCACATTTCTCCCCGGAAATTTAAACTCACCCCACCCAGTAATCTTTCAAGTGACCGCCCCCGTCCATAATTATTCTCTCTCCCCCCCCCCCCACCCCCCCAGAGAAACATGTGAGAAACACTGTGTTCAACTCCTTAAAACAGGACCGGCATCTCACACAAGAACCGGTACCCATCAGAACAGGTATCGTCCATGAGTAGAGTGGTCGTCCTATCCCAGTACACACAGTTATCCCCCGTCCCTCCGTTGGGCTCTCCTGGAGGCAATACAAACATTTATAGTAATCTTTTAAATGCACCTAAAAGTTATAAAAGCGTTGGGAGTTTAAATTTTTTAGTTGATTTTACGAGCGCAGAGGCGTAGCGAGGGGGGGGGGGCGGTGGGGGGCGGTGGGGGGGGGGACATATGTCCCCGGGCGCCGACCTTAGGGGGGGGGGGGTACAAATGAAAAGTCGCCTCTGTACGTGCGACCGACATATTTTACTATTTTTTTTTATTGTGTAAAGCTTTACTTGACGCCCACAAAAGCACTTCAAATTTATTTATTTTTTTTGGAGACCCAATGTGTGGTTAGACGTCAAATATGTTATAAAAGTAAATTACTATCCAACATTTGATGGTACGATTGACAGATGAAGTAGAGTGTATCTGTAGTCTTTATTTATATAACTGGATTCAGGTACTAATTATGGCTGAGTTGACTCAGCGACGAGTGCATAAATACACTACGGCTCATCGATTGCTAATTATGGCTTGAATATAATTAATTATTAATTAAAGCAATTAGTTAGGGATAGCGTTGTCGATTAACAACATACCTGGACCAAAAATGGCCTTCCTCCAACTGTCGGATAAGACTGACCCGTCGTCGGTGTACTTGAAAACGTTTTCTGTTTCGATATCGGTCAAACCTACCCAGAACATATCATTGTATTGTTTCCCTATAGTCTTCAGTAGATTCATTTTCTCAGGAGTCTTCGTTGTATACATGATTGCACCGAACGCTGTTGATGGAAGCGATGGTGATAAATATACTTCATAAGCAAAGCTAAAAATAAAAGCAGATTGAAGTCAACGGCTTATATAACTAATAAGTTGACAAGTAAGACAAGTAATACTTAATTGTGTTGGAGAAAATCCCATCCAACAATATAATTAAGAACGTAGAAAAAAACAACCTGTACGTGTTTTTATTTCCTTTCTAAATACACACGTTTTTAATAAGACTGTTTAAAGTTAACAAACGCCCAGTAGTGCATATTGGGGGTGACCTATCTTAAGACGGCCTAAGTTCATACAGTGGTGCTCAGCATTCGGCCTAAGTTCGTACACTAACTGCCCAACATTACCTTTTCTGCAATTACCTTTGCTACAATTACCTTTACTACAATTACCTTTGCTACAATTACCTTAAATACCATTAATTTTGCTACAATTACCTTTTCTTCAATTACCTTTTCTACAATTACATTTGCTACAATTACCTTTGCTACAATTACCATTTCTACAATTACCTTTGCTACAATTACCTTTGCTACAATTACCTTTGCTACAATTACCTTTGCTACAATTCCTTTTCTTCAATTACCTTTTCTACAATTATCTTTGCTATAATTATCTTTGCTATAATTACTTTTGCAACGATTACCTTTGTTACAATTACCTTTGCTACAATTACCTTTGCTACTATTACCTTTGCTACTATTACCTTTGTTACAATTACCTTTGCTACAATTACCTTTGCTACAATTACCTTTGCTACTATTACCTTTGTTACCATTACCTTTGCTACAATTACCTTTGCTACAATTACTTTTGCTACAATTACCTTTGCTACAATTACCTTTGCTACAATTACCTTTGCTACAATTACCTTTGCTACAATTACCTTTGCTACAATTACCTTTGCTACAATTACCTTTGCTACAATTACCTTTGCTACAATTACCTTTGCTACAATTACCTTTGCTACAATTACCTTTGCTACAATTACCTTTGCTACAATTACCTTTGCTACAATTACCTTTGCTACAATTACCTTTGCTACAATTACCTTTGCTACAATTACCTTTGCTACAATTACCTTTACTACAATTACCTTTGCTACAATTACCTTTGCTACAATTACCTTTGCTACAATTACCTTTGCTACAATTACCTTTACTACAATTACCTTTGCTACAATTACCTTTGCTACAATTACCTTTGCTACAATTACCTTTGCTACAATTACCTTTGGTACAATTACCTTTACAACAATTACCTTTGCTACAATTACCTTTACTACAATTACCTTTACTACAATTACCTTTGCTACAATTACCTTTGCAAGCTGCCTGACCGTTGGGGAAGTTGTCCCCACCAGGCGAGGCTCGAACACAGAGCCTGACGTCACCGCTCTGGTAGAGTGAGAACTGGGCCACTGGGTTACACAGGTGTGTAGCAAACGTGTTGACGTGGACTGTGGTTGTGTTGGACCGTACTGGCCAGGAACCTGGATGTGTAGATGTAGATGTAACATAACTGTGGCACTAATTGAGTCCAAGTTCGAAGGTTTTTTACTCTGTTAGTATAACTATCCTACAACTAACCCTGATTTAATACAAGCATCCTCACAAAAACCTAGCCTCACTTTACGCAAGTTTGTTGAATACCAGTGTCTATTATATAAATGCTAATCTAAACCCTAAACTTAACGTCTATGATAATGCCATAAGATACCTCTTAACTATATAGCCTTGACAGTAATTTCGCCGCCCAGTGTATTTATTGAACACTGGGGTCATCCACACGAAAAGGGGAAGGGGAATGTGTGTGTGGGGGGGGGGGGGGGGTTTCCAAAAATCAAGTTTTGTTTTAGATGCGCATGGTCTGACGGGATGAAAGGGGGGACGGGGGTCTAAAATATTATTTTAATACATACATTAATTTCAACCATTTTAGTATTTTTTTTAAACTCTTAATATTTAATTTCAATTCGAGATATACGCTTTGAAAACCATTAATACCATATTTACTTTTTTTTTCTTTCGAGCAATTGTAACGACTGTAATAAATTTGATTTCAACCCCATCAGTCGATATGCCATATTTTAACTCTAAACAAATATTATCTGCTACTCGCAACATCTGTCTCGGCTTTAAGATTTGTACACACGATAACTTCTCGAACATCATAATTCATAACTGGTCAGGTAAACTCTGCCAAGTTATTTCCCATGTTTGATGAAAACAATTTTCTTTGAAATAAATCGAACTTGCAGAAGTGAATTTTTAGAATTTTTCGCTAATACTTGATTCTGTTTATTTACTTTCTATAATTTCATATGGTAGTCTTAAATTAATGAAAAAGTTAAGATTTAATAGATTTTAATTATACTTGAAAGTAAATTATCTTAAAAAGTTTGAACATAATTGACACACTTAATGTAAAGAAAAACTGGGTTACGAGGTATGACCACACACCAGTAGACAGACTTTTTGACCTTAGTAAAAGCTTGTAAAAACGGATTTTGTTAAGTATTTGGAAAACTGAATTTTGAAAAATTGGAAACTGTCAAAAAAATCTTACCTAGCGTGCAGGCGTGAAGCGCGTCATTAAACGCAAACGTATAGCAAGAGCTGTTACGTAGACAACTCCTGGCACAGTTCAGCTGGTCGATTCCAGAGAGTTCCACGCCAAGTGGGACGAACTTCAGGTGCGGGTCTGTCAACAACCAAAACTGGCTCAAACTACCAACAGCAGACGTCAAACCTGGAACACACATTTTCTACCCGGATTTTTAATCTGCTCAGTTTAAATTTTGAAAAAAAATAATTTGTTACAGTTAAACGTATCTGTTTTTTTATAATTAATTTTCTCTATTCAAAAGAAATGTTTCGTGAACATTTATTGTTTTTATTGAACAAATTTGTTCTAGTACAATTGTTGTTGATCTACGGAAAATGCTAGATTCACCATCTACAACATATATAACACATTTCGCGTTGTAGTGATATTATTCCTAAAAATAGATTTAGCGGTTTTCAAAGGGATCGGACACGAGCGGTTTTATAAGTTTGTGGGGGGGGGGGGGGGGGGAAGGGATAACTGATCGAAGACCTTTTTACAAGCAGCCTTGTAGACTAGTTTGAAAAAGGTAAAAACATTAAAGCGGTAATTAACATTATATCAATAATGATTATTATTATTAAAATACTGTTATAAATAACATACAGAGAAAGATGGGTTAGGTACTGTATTGTGGTTAGTGAATTATATTTCTTCGTCTTCATCTTCATCATCATCATCATCATTATCATCGCCCCTTAACCTTCATGGGGTCGATGTGGCACCACAATTGACCGTATACATTCTCCGCCATCCATCTCGGTCCACTGCCAGTTTGACGGGCAGCCCCGTCCAGTCCCTGACGTCATCATACGGTCACATGGTTGTCTTCCCCTTCCTCGCCCTCCTGAATTATATGTAGGCCCTGCTAAAACTGTATAGAACTGATAACAAGATATAAACCCACACTAGAACTGATAACAAGATATAAACCCACACTAGAACTGATAACAAGATATAAACCCACACTAGAACTGATTAACAAAATCTTAACCCACACTAGAACTGATTAACAAAATCTTAACCCACACTAGAACTGATTAACAAATTCTTAATCCTGACTAGAACTTACAGCACAATTATAACCGACACTAGAACAGATAAAAAATATGTTAGTCCGGACTAGAACTGATTAAAGAAATCTTAATCCTGACTAGAACTGATCAACAACATCTTAACCTCGTAACTGTCCTCAATTTAACGTTACTCCATCTAAATTGATATATTTTAAACGAGCTCCTATACATTGTAAACTAGTTTTAAGTATTGTGAAAAGTAGAGTAGAATTTAAATGAAATTTTACTTATAATAGGGTGGCATGGCCGGGCGATGGAACTCGCGAATGCTAGCTCAGAAGTCGTGAGATCAGGTTCCCAAGTCCACCCGTTAACTGAAATGTTACTGCTGACATTACGGTAATTCTCACGTCATGAGTTTACCAGCTGTTACCTAACATGTTACTAATGAAGTTACGTATTTCTAATTAACGAATTTTTTTACCTGCCATCAACAGTTGCAACACGCACAAGAAAAGAGACATGTACCAGAGTGTCTCAAGGTGTGGACCAACAGGATTCACTTGGATCAGACTGCTCACGATTGAGTCTTGGATGAACAAACGTGCAATCATTTCTTGAGACCATGAAAAAATCGGAATCTTTTTATCAAACAAAACACAATTCTAACAGCGTTTTAAAAAAACAGTAAACAATTTAATTCTACTTACTCGTTTTATATTAACTGTATTCGTATTTAAGAAATTTACGGACAAAATTTAAAAAATATATATATTCCTCAAGGAATCTTCTTGAATCAAATTTCAAAAGCAATCCGCGTTTTCCTTCAGCTGTTATCATTCACCTTTCACAACTGTATTATAACAATGCAATTGAAATAACCCTAGTAGGTACAAGCCACAAATTGTCTATGTTAAGATAGAAGATTTATACCTAATCTTCACTAGATGGCTCGCTACACAAATAAAACTGTGAACCATTCACTAGATGGCACGCTACATAAACCAAACTATATTCACCATCCGAACATCACCTGAACACTGACAATGAAAGCACGTATCCGCCTTTTATGAACTCACGAACCCAACGTCGTCCACGAGAACTGGCAACTATGTTGCTAGGTTACGATAATGTTACAAGCTCACAGATCAAAGGTTAATAATACTAGATCAATAACCTAACATCGTTACTTAAAATAAATATTGATTACTGTTTTTTGTGATGGTTTCTTGAGAAGATCAGTGTCTTAATAATAAATAACGACTTTGAACTGTACTATAGATTTAGGCTTTTGAGAACCCGTAAGTATAGTAGGTACCTCTACCGGTAACCGAAAATCGCTCAAGGCCCCGGATAATAAGGAGCACGTCCTACAGGAATGTTCTTTATATAGCCAGGCGCGAGTCAGACACTGGCCCCTGCTCACCCCACTCAGGGAAAAATTATATGGGGCACCTGCCAAACTGGAGACCACAGTCCGGTTTGTTCACGAAGTTGGACTTGTTGTCTAAATCCTCCACCAAATTCTCAATTAAGAACGAAGAAGAAGAAGAAGAAGCTCAAAAGTTGAAAGAAAACTACAAATTTGATATACATATATAAAATACTGTCAACATAATTGAGATGTTACACAGGTTATCGTGTTTTATACACACAGACTTGCGGAATGGATTGCAAAACTAGGTTTTTTCCGTCGCGGGAAGGTATAAAACGTCAAAATCTGTTAAAATTTCGACTTAGATTTTTGTACGTTTCCGATGCATCCGTTTATATTACGTCTTCGATAGGTCGGGAGGTGTAAAACAGTGATTGTTATCAACATACCTGTTAATTATTCAGCAGAATTACATTACTTTCTCTATACTCTGTAAGCAAGGAAGTAAAAAATTATTGATTTTTTTAAATATTGATATACACAATATTTAGATGTGTCATATCTTAAACGGAAATAATTGCCCCCAATTTGGCCTTGTATGGATTTACATACAATAGATCATTGTTTTACTAAAGAAGAGTTCACGATATGTGCACTCATATATATATATATATATATATATATATATATATATATATATATATATATATATATATATATATATATATATATATATAATTATTTCCCGACTGGAGCCAGGAAACCGTTGTACCTAATTGCACTTAGTGAACCAGGAACTGAACTCGTGACTTTGAGGTTAGGAACTGTATACAGAACAACTAGACCATGGCGTCTAAAAATAAAACTATACCGCTCGTACACTGCACGTGCAGGGGCACGCACCTCCGTTTTTTACGGTCATCTCCTGGTAACTGGGCCACTAGAACTGATGTCCGTAAAACAAACGTTGCCTGCCGTTATACGTGCATAATCTCTGAAACAACAACAAACACGACTAACTAAAAGCTACTTAACAAAACACTTGAGCGTTTAAACTATGAATTTATTATGACCACCGCCACGGTTCACTTAGCATTTAGAACATCGATCTACGTATCTCTAGAATTCTTCCAATTAATTCAAAACTAAAGTTGTCAAGATCGAGTCTAATTTTTTATTTTACGTATAATATCTATTGTTATCATAATTTAGAGTAACTCTTTCTATACTAAAAGTGTTTTTTATCATTTGAAACAAAAACTCATGACATACAGTTAACTAATCAATTGGTTAACCATAAAAAAAAATTATAAAAATATACCATCTATGCATATGACCTATTTATCCTAACAATGTATGAACCGATTTTTCAAATTCTTAATTATTGTATTTAGATTTAGATGGTAGAAGCATCAACCTTTTAAACACTGCAAGACTTATACACTAAACTTTTGGCATACGTATGTTTTGTATGAGCTTTTGACATACGTATGTTTTGTAGGATATCACTGAGGTCACTAAAAGTTTAACATACTAATTAAATTAAGATGTGTATTTTAATTAATATACCAAATTTTATAAGTTTACGATTAGCTTATTTATTTGTGTGAATTACATTTTCTAGCAAATAAATTGAAAGTTAAAACAATGGACTGTGGAGTAATGTTTAAACTCTGCAGTTTGTAACTTCTATACTTTATTAAATCATATTTATTGAACGTTTCTGCATGATCTTAGGCAGTGGCGTAGCTACCGTAAAGCTAGCGTAAGCAAGGCATAGGGGCCCGAGGCAAATAGGGGCCCTTTTCCCTCTTTAAATTTTTGAAAACTTTTACATTCTGATGTTAATATTTGTATTATAAAAATAATTTTAAAAAGAAAACGGAAATCAGTTTCTTTTCATCTGTAAAAGTAATCAAAAGTTCCAAGAAAATGCTCCCCCAACCTTTCCTACTGGGCAGGGTTTGTACAGGGCCCATGGGTATAAATAACTTTATAGGCATTGTTGCGTTGTCGGGCAAGCCTTTGAGAGAATTAGCCTATAAATAAACTTGAACATTGACTCTTTTGTGAGTTAGGCATCCGACACCCGCAAATGTATATGCATCGCTTAAAACTCTCTACCCCACCGCCACAAACCTGCACCCCTTCCGCTCTCAACTCACTGTCCTCACTGAAAATAAATCCGTCCATGATAACGATTGAGCCATTTTTGGTTAGAAGTCGTGGACTGTGTTTTACAACAAACTGAGTCGAATATTTGTCAATGTTTTTCTGTTACCTTTAACCTTAATCACAATGTGTTTGTTGATCTAATTTATCTCTAATCAATATGCCTCTATTTAAAGATTTTTGTTTGTCTGTCTCCTTGTCCTTTATGCATTAATACAAAAATGATACAATCACCAAGAAACATAGGGAAGTCGTTTAGAATAATTCAGACAAACCTCTACTGAAAGTGAAATTTCCTAACATAACCCAACACATGATAAGCAGTCCCTCCACCCTCGAAGAGGGCTATTATAATCAATGACTGAAGAAAATAAGGGGTGTCCTCCAGCCGCCTCGGCAGTAGTTTACGATTAGGTGCCCCGAGTCTCTCCATTATTATGATGTTATGAAACAACTTGTAGATATGGCCTCAATATTGTATTATTATAACTGAATAAAACATAGTTTTGACAGTAAATTTTACGAGTTTTCGTCATGGTGTCACGCCTAAACTGTGAGGCCCCAGCCATGTGAAGCTACTGTGTTAGGTTACTT